TGTCCTGACCTAAGTATGTTTTTATTGTTTTCTGATGTTTTTAACTCATTATTGATCTCAAGTTCTCAGTTGTCATAGTGCAAATCTTTAGAAGATAGTAATATAGTGAAATTGTCATATATACTACAAGTACTTTTTTAAACACAAGCTTTTAATTGAAATTCTTCTGTGTTTCTTTATGATTGTTCCATTGCTTTTACACCCAGGTTTTTCCACTAAAAAGTTTTGTGCTTGATATACAGCTGTTTACTGTCCTTTGTGTTTTAGTCATGCCCTTAGCAGATTGCTAATAGGCTACAAAGTGTGAGAACTTGTGGTATCATTTATTAGTGTTGGAAAAGTTCTCTCAAAGAACTGGAGAAGTCTAGCAGGTTTTTGCCCAGACCTAAGATGTCTGTGGCCCTCTCCTAGGAGGCTTATTCCCCATGCTGTCATGCTGTGTATTCATGCAGAAAATTGAGAATTATAGTAAGCCATCTTAGTCCATGATAAACAGACAGAATGCACTTTAATTACACTCTAATTTATTATCTGATGAAAGTACCTTGCTAACAAATCAACTCGGATATGACTTACTGGATAGCCTTTGCACTTAGAGGAATAATCAGACTGTAATCATAAACAACATGAACCATTCATCCTCTGGGTTGCTATCTATTTATTACCCTCAAGTGCCTCTGCTGAGTCGGGTGTCTTTCCTGTTTGTTTTCTGTGTCTGGCCTTTGGGCTTCCATCCTGCCTGGTGTAAGGTGGAACTCTGTGTTTATGTTCTGTTTTGTCCTTAAAATAAGGGTTAGGTACAATCCTGGGAAAAGTCTTGTAGTTTGTAGCATCTCCCTCCAATAACAGCAAGTAGAATTAAGTGTCACCATAGTGAATTAATGTGTGATTTATTTGCTGTGAGAACTATCAAGAGTTCTAATACTGTATGGAAATAAAAATGTCCACAGTAGTCACTTGCTTAGTCTTCTGTTCTTTTCCACCCAAAAAAAACGGGGCATGTGCATTCGATGGCAAACTAGCCTGCCTACTCCTTTGATCTGAGACAACTGCCTGCAGAGAATGCATACCTGTGAGTAGAGTCCATGTCTTTGACTTAAGACTGATAGAATAATAAATAGCCTTTGGTGCTAGTTCCTCAGAGGGACTTGAAGCTTGATTATTCTATTTTTTCAGTTGAGTTACTACTTTGTTAGGTGGGCATTAGAGCAAGCCTAAAGGACGTACATATGTGTGTATACAGAACAGTTCATTAAACAACTTAATCAAACCAGTCTTCAAGGTGGAATTACAACAAAGAGTTGCTCATTGCATTTCCTGTTTCAGACACCCATTTTTCCTTCTCCTTAGACAGAGAGAGAGAGAGAGAGAGAGAGAGAGAGAGAGAGAGAGAGAGAGAGAGAGAGAGAGAGAGAGAGAGAGAAGAGAGAATGAGAATGTGTGTGAATGTAGGCCCAGAGGCTAGAGGGCATCAGGTTCCATGGGCCTGGAGTTAAAGGGGGTTGTGACTGCTCAGTGTTGTTCTGGGAGCTGAACTTGGATCCTTTGAAAGAATGCAAGTGCTGTTACCTGCTGAGTCTCCAGATGTCCCTTCACTGGTTGAATCTGCTGATTCAACTTAGTATCTTTAGCAAGTAGAGACTGTTAACCCTGACAAAAGAGTATCTTCTTATGAAGTAGGGTCTTATGCCTAGAATACGCCTCACTAGTGTTGTGGGTCACATCAAAAGTATCTGTAGTTGTAACTGATAAGGAGCAAAGGGGTCTGGGACTTACACATTTTAGTGCTATGACGTATTTAGTTTTCAGTTTTCCTGCAGGTTGCATTTAAACAGAAGAGAAAATATCAGTCTGGTTTTCCGGAGGAATATGTGGTTTTTAGCATGTACAGTGGTTTGAATGAGAATGACTCCCATAAACTCAGAGATTGGAATGTTTGGTCACCAGGAAGTGTCACTATTTGAAAGCATTAGGAGGTGGGACCTTGTTGGAGGAAGTGTGTTACTAGAAGTGGACTTTGAGGTTTCAAAAGCTCAAGCCAGGCCCAGTGCCTCTCTTCCTGTTGCCTGGAGATCAAGATGTAGAGCTCTCTGTTCCTCAAGCACCACGTCTGCCTTCGTGTCCTGCCGTGATAACAATGGACTAAATCTCTGTAAGCCACCCACATTTAAGTTGCTGTGATCATGATGTCTCTTCACAGCCATAGAACACTTGACTGAGAAAGAGAGCATGCAAGTCAGTTTAGGTGAGCTTGGAAATTTTCTGCAGAATTAGACAGGAACCACTTAACCCGTGGTGTTTTCCATGGGTTAAGCTTTTATTTGACTTTACACATTCAAAAGTATAAAAATACTTTTTCCTGACTCAGATAATAGCTAAGGCCTTCTTCCCTGAGTTAAGATTCTCTGATTATTGCTGGGTGTGGTGGCCCATTCCTGTAATCCCAGTACTGGGGAAGCTGAGGCAGGAAAAGATTATGACTTTGAGGCCAGCCTGGTTTACACATTAGGCTCCAGGCCAACCTGAACTACAGCACAGCATGAGACCCTGTTTCAAATAACAAAAAAGAAAGTAAGGATTCTGTTATTGTGGCTGACAGTAGTGGCTGAGACAGGAGGGTCATGAGTTCAACCCACCAGTAAGACCTTGTCTTAAACAAACCAAGCATTTTATGGCTAGGTCCCTTCAGAACCAACCCTTTGCTTTGTATATTCATTACTCTCCCTCAGTCCCAGGTTTCTGGAGTCTGCAATGGGCATTCTTCTTAGGCCTTATTCAGCCCTAGTTTGGTTCTGACCAAACACTGTCACTGTTTGATTGACCCTTCTGTTCCCTGGGCTCTCTTGCTACCTCTTCGTGGCTATAGCTAGCATGTTATCCCATCTATGAAAAACACCAAAGATTGAGAAATATCCTGAATATTTACATCTTTACAAGGGGCAGAAGAGAGGTTTTCTGAGCAGCTTGACTTTGTACTGCATACAATTTGGGAGCTGTGTCCTTACATAACTGCTGGCTGTGTTTGGGAACGCATGTGTACTTGTGGGAGCTAACACCAAGACAAGTCCCTTTCCCAAGTTCAGACCTCATTTGCTTGGAGAACATTGACTTTGTTGTTACTCTGTTGGCTCCACAATTTCTACTTCCTATTCTGGTTTCTGGTTCCTATCTCTTTCTATTGGCAGTATTTTCTGGCTCTGTGGTGTGTGTGTGTGTGTGTGTGTGTGTGTGTGTGTGTGTGTGTGTGTGTGTATTACTCAAGAGCTCAAAGAGTATGTTTAAGCTTCTTTTTAGAAAGAAACTACTGTTGTGTATGTTCTGAGATTAGTAGCACTTTGACCTTTAGGAAGTCACTCTTAGAATGAAATTAAGGCTAGATAACCATATTTGGCTGTAGTGGAATGTAAGCCCCCTGTAATTTTCCTAAAATACATCTTACTAAGGTTACTGCTTTACCACTCACTTATCCTTGTTGCACTGTTGACAGTGTTTTTCTCAAACACTCTTCACACTCCTTTCCAAAGTTCTAGGTGTTAAAGTCTAAAGCTCCATTACATAGACTAACAGGGCAGAGTTGAAACTTTACAGATAGATGAAACAGTATGACAGCTGGGGCTAGGACATTGTTTTGGCTGGTGAATTGCTTGCTGTGCAAGCATGAGGACCTGAGCTTGGATCCTCAGTGCCTCTGCACACACACAAGTTGAGTATAGTAGAGTGTGCCTGCTACCCCAGTGCTGGGTATGCAGACAGCATGATCACTAGTTCACTGGCCAGCGTAGCCAATCAGTGAGCTCACTCTAGGTTTAGAGGGAGACACCATCTCCAAAACTAAGGTGATATTAAAAACATGCATAAAAATAGAAGCATAATAGGGATAAATCTTCCTCAGTCTCATTCTATTTAGGAGATTTGCTAGGTTTTAAAACTGTGGGTCTCAGGACCTCATTCCAGTCTTAATAAGCAATGAAGGTTCCTTTGAGATATTATTCCCGTGGCATATGTCTGTTGATAATTATTATGATTGAAATTTAGAAGTTGAAATGATTTAAATATGAATTAGCTTATCATATGCTATTATTAATAAACTTCATTGGTAAAGACAATTAAAAATTCCCCAAGACATGTTACTGAGGAGAATTGTTAGGTAGCTGGGAAAAAGAAGAATAATTTATTAGTCTTTCTAGGTTGTTTCTTAGATATAGCGTGAAATCTGAAATATCAGTGAACTTGTTGCACTTTATTACATTAAATCCCATTGATTTATTTTTGCACTTAAAATAATCTTTTACCTGTCTTTAATTTTGTTTCTTGCATTGATCATTTGGAAATACTGGCTCACTGAAGTAGTTGAACCTTCTGAACATTGACATGTTTGATTATACTGTCCTTAAGAACACCATACTGACCTCATTTAAAAAAAAATAGGTAAGTGCTGGAAAGATGATTCAGCAGTTAAGAGCACTGGGTACTATTCCAGAGGACCTGGGTTTGATTCCCAGCACCCACAAGGCAGTTCATACTAGTTCCCAGGCCTGTCCTGACTTCTGGACCTACACACATATGATGTGTAGGCACTCAAGCATACCATACATATAAAATAAATATATTTTTTAAACTAGGTAAATGATGGAAAGTTGTCAAGTGTATAGTGGCTGACACAAATTTTCCACAATTCTAATACTGACTCTCCTGAAAGTTCAATTTTTATTATTTGCAACAAATATCATTAGTTTTAAGAAAACATGTAGTAACCATTAGAGTTGAAGGGGCATAATTTGGCTATTGGCTGTTCTTTGAAGTAAAAGCAGTGTTTATGGAGGGAAAGGAGACAATTACTAATCCAGCTTCAAATCAAAGAACCAGACAAGTGCTTTCCCTTGAGATAGCAAAAATACTTGACACAAAGAACTCATTTTACAACTTAACTCGTAAAAAAAGACATGTGCTTCTAGTCAGGAGTTAGTATAATTAGCCATTTTTACTATTTATCAAAGACAAAGACTATACTTTCAGGGATCATTTCTATAGTTTGTTACTATTTATCAAAGACACTAAGTAAAAATGGTCACTTTATTTTCCTACTGTGAGTACATGACATTGAAAAATATGGTTGTGTGGTTGAGGTCACTGACTAGATTTGTGTTCCGGTCCCAGCAATTTATACACCATTGTTTTGCATTGTCAGTGACAATGTCAACACAGTGGAAAGGGTAAAAATCTCTTAGTATTATTATAGTTTTTAGTGTGTGGATCCCCACAAAAAAATTTAGGGCATCTGGGTTTCCACAGCCCATGTTTTGAGAACTACTGAACTAGAGAAAGAGGCCTGCACAGATTGACAGCTTCACCTGTAAGGCATTGGAACATAGAACTTAAGCAAAATCTAACTGCAGCTGCTATCCAGGCCCATCCCAGCTCAGTTCCTGTCTTAACAGAGGGAAGAGCAAGTCTGCCATGGGAAATGGCATAAACTGCAGGCACTGCACTTATATGTAGTGCTCGACATGCAATTAAATATTATGAGAAACGACTTTGCTTCTAGCCACAGGGGAATAGCGGATCTGGAATTGCTTTTTCTTAATAAACAGCTAGGAAACTGGGCAGTATACGCGAAACAACTGTCTTCCTATATTGGACAACAAGCAACACAGAACTGTCATCCCACAGGGAAGGAAAACAGAAGAGGTAGCTCTATGATTACCTTGGCTTTATGCCTAGAGGTAATTGCCAGACTGTGGTGCAGGGAAGAGAAACCTTAACAGCACCCTATTAGTGCAGAGCTGTCTGGGACATAGCTAAGAGTTCTGGGAGGTCCTGATGGGTAGAACATACAAGACAGTGTATTAAACAGGAAGGAGTTTTGCAGATAGGGTTCTCAATATCTGTGTAAGTCATTTCAAGTTCTGCATTTGGGTAGCATGAAATTCCATGAGACTGGGCAAAGAAAACTGAGGAGCAGTTCCTAGTGCTCAGCCAAAGCCAGAGGTCAGTTGAAAGTCCTCTGGATACATGGGATATTCAGTGGGAGACTTTGGAAGCCTACACCTTTAGGTCATAGCTAAATTAGTTCTAAATAGAAGCATTGTAAAGCTGAATGTGTAATCATAGCTCTCAGGGGACTGAGGCCAGAGGATTGCAGTGAGTTTTAGAACAATTAGGTTGAGACCCTTCCTCAAAATCCACAAACTCTTCTATATCCATCCTGAGTGTAAGACTACATCAAACAAATAAGTTCAAGTGTAATTTAACTGTTAACTAAAACAGACTTCAGCCCTCTTTACATGAAGATAACAAAACAAATTATTTAATAGTATACTAGACAGTTCTAGAAATAGGAAAATTCAGTATATCACTAAAAAATAAGTAGATACATGTAGAAATCAGAAATGATGGGATTAGACAATGCTGAAACAGCTTTAGTAAGTACAGTAAGTATGTTCCAGTAATTACAAGAAAACATGAGCACTGTAGGCAGAGAAGGACAAATCTAGAGACCCAAACAGAACTTACAGAGGTAGAATGTGAAGCCTGTTTAATAAATTCCACTTGATGGAATCACAGAAAGTTAGATACTGCAGAAGACAGTATCTAACCAAGCAAAATATTTAGAGAAGTAAAGCCCTACAATTTTCAAGTTTGATAAGAAATATTTACTAATAAGTCTAGAGTCTCAACAAACTCCAAGTAGAATGAAACAAACCACTAGGGTATACCATAATCAAATTGCTGAAAATGCACATATTCAGGTGGAGAAAAAGAAGGTACATTGAGCACAGAGGAGCAAGGTAATCTCTGCCACATCATACCAGAAACTTAAATCAAGAGCTTATGAAAGAGCATTTTCAACATCTTGAGGAAAACATTTACATTACTCTACCCACTAAAATGTCCTTCATTAATGAAGTTGAATACTTTTTAGACAAAACTGAGAGAAGTCCATGCTCTCTATGCTACCAGTCAATGTGCTATATGTACATATCAGAGTCACCACTTAAGTGTACATTGCGTGCATGTAAGATTTACTGCTGTCCACAATTGAAGGCATTCACTAGAGCAGTGCTGTGCTGTCGAAAGGCAAATATATTATATTAAAGAGGGTATAATAATATTCAAAGGTAGAGTGTGATAAAGTAGAAGGTGAGCATTACAAATCTAGACCAAACATTTGAAAAATAAGCCTAACAGTTGAAATAAAATGCAATGCTTAGAAGCACTCAATCCCAGGCAAGAAATATTTAAAAAAAAAAAAAAGAAAGAAGAACATGGGAAACAACTAGAACACAACCAGCAACATGGTAGATTTAGAGCTGGGCATGGTGATGCTGAGGCAGGCAAGTCTCTGAGTTTGAGGCCATCTTGGTCCACATAGAAAGCTGTGCATCAGCCACGGTTATGAGGTGAGGCAAGACATCAAAACAATTTTTTGATTAAAAAAGATAGATCTAAACCCCGGCCAAAATACTCCAGGTTGTGTATTTGTAAAAAGAAAAATCACATACATAGTAGAAGGGAGCCTGCTTAGAGTGAAGAAGGGGCCACTAGGGGTAATGGGGGGTGATAAATGGGGATATGAGCAAAGTAGAATTATGTATGTGTGGAAGTGTCGTAATGAAACAGCTTACTCAGTTAATTAAAAAAAAATCTTTAAATGAGACCCAAAGAGTAGAAGAATGTGCAATATATAGAAAGTTGACTGTACAAATCTAAAACTCCACTTCAGAACAAAGAATATTACTGCAGCCTTTTAATATAGTTGCTCATGCTGTGATAACCCCCAACCATAAAATTATATTGTTGCTACTTCATAACTGTAATTTTTCTACTGTTATGAGTTGTAATATAAATATCTGATATACAGGATATCTGAGTTTCAACCCTTATAGGGGTCTCAACTCACAGGTTGAGAACTGCTGATATAAAGGAGTCAGTTCATGAAGATATCATTATTAATGTGCACATTGTTGTGGAATGTTATTTAACTAGGTTAAGATTGTGTTACATTTGCCTATGCTGTGGAATATTACTTTAACTGTGAAAAGGTGTGTTACATTTGTTTATGCTGCATTTGTTTAATTTTGTAAGGATGCATATTTAGTTATTTAAAGATGTGTTACATTTGTTTCACCTTGCCTGCCTAAGGTACCCGATTGGTCTAATAAGGAGAGTTGAGTGGCCAATAGCTAGACAGAGAAAGGATGGGCTGGACTGGCAGGCAGAGAGAATAAATAGGAGAAATCTAGGCTTAAAAAAAAAAAAAGAACAAGAAGAAAGTAGAGAACAAGGGAAATACCCATGGCAGGCCCCAGCCAGGCAGTAGAAGCGTTGAAAGTACAATATACAGATGGAAAGAAAAGTAAAAATTCCAGAGTCAAAAGGTAGATAAAGAGAAACAGGTTAATTTATGTTAAAAGAGTTAGCCAGAAATGGACCTAAGCTAGCCCAAGCATTTACAGCTGATAATAAGTTTCTGTGCCATGATTTGGGATCTGGGTGGAGATACAGCACATATATGATATCAGGCCTTTAAAATACATTGATCAAACCTGGCAATTGAAATAGATAATTCTTTGGCCCACTTCTGCATCAAAATATTGATGTTAGTGATTTTTCACTCAGATTTAAACTAAGGAGTCATGTTTAAGTTACTTTCTGTACTTTTCAGCATTTTGGCTATCATAGTTCTGTTACTTTAGAATTTTCTGTCTAAAGGACATAGCTGTTAGGTTTGGTGGTCTGCTCCTATAGTCCCACACTTGGGACGCTGGGACAAGGAAAATCAAGGGTTGGAGGTCAGCCTCGGCTGTCTAATAAGACCCTATGTTGAACAGCAAGGTTTTCTTCTGAGGACTTAAATGAGGGTGAATCTAAGCGTCAGGATAAAATATGCAACCGCTTTTGTATCTTTTCTCCTCTTCAAGGTGACTCTAAATACTAAGTGTTCTTCACCCCAGTACCTTTCACGGTTGCAGTGGCTGACCTTTCTATCCCTGTGGGATTGAAATCCGCAGTGCAGGCATTCTGTTGAGTTTCTTATATGCAAATAGTTGTAAGTCTGGTCCTATTAAAACATGCATATTTGTATATTTGTTTTCAGCTGGTGTCCAGACTTTTAACTAGATAAATGTTTTGTAAGGAAATTGGTTGACCTCAATTATCAGATTATTTTTTGTAAACGAAATAACTCAGACAAGTATTGGTACAAAATTTAAACTTAAAAATTGGTGGTTATTTTTAAGAAAAATATCTTCCTTTAAAAATGGCTAAAGTGCATTTTTTTGAAAAAATGCAGAAATTTTAATGCACTTTTTCTTTTGGAGTGCTTTTACAAAACATTATTGTGACTAGCAAAGAAAGGTTTTAGGTTTTTGATTTTTTTTTTAACCAAATGTTCAATTCTGATAGTAGGTTATAGAAGAATTTCCCTAAGTGTGACATTTTTGTATTTGTTTAAATTGCTTGAATTTTAAAATAATGAGCATATATTATTTTTTTTAAAAACCTTTGAAACATCTAAAACATATATAGTATGCTGGCTAGGGTTATCTGAAAGGAGGGAACCTTAATTGGAAAAAAAAATACCTTCATAAGATCTGCTGTAAGGCATTTTGTTAATTAGTGATTGATGGGGGAGGACCCAGCCCATTGTGGTTGGGGTTATCCCTGGGCTGGTGGTCCTGGATTCTTTAAGAAAGCAGGCTGAGCAAGCCATGGGGAGCAAACCAGTAAGCAGCATCCCTCCATGGCCTCTGCATCAGCTCCTGCCTACTGGTTCCTGCGCTGTTTGAGTTCCTGTCATGACTTCCTTCAGTGATGAACAATGATATGGAAGCATAAGCTAATAAACCCTTTCCTTCCCAACTTGCTTTTTTGGCTATAGTGTTTTGTTGCAGCAGTAGAAACCCTAACTAAGACGTATAGGAAACAAAAGTGCTGAATTAACAAACAAATAAGGTAGGTTATTTGTGGGGAAAAGTAATGGCAATAGTTGCAGTTTGTTAGGTTTAGTCATAAAGTCGATATTGATATATTGAGCATATTGGAAAGTAATTAAGGCAGTAATTCTAGTTAATTGTCCCCAGTGTAGGAAATGGAGGCGTAGACCTGAAACTTTTTTTTTTAATTTAAATTAGAAACAAGGTTGCTTCAGACCTGAAACTCGTAAGACTTCAGCCCTTCTACTATGGTGGAGGGAGAGAAGCACTGTGAAAACACTTTC